CTCTAATGTCTTTTGGTAACTTATTATGAAGCTGTGCAAATGGATCCTAATTGTCACTATTACTCAGTTCCATTGCTTTGCTCGACTCCATAAAAATGCGACAAGCACCAACGTCCCATGAATCCGGTGTTATTTGTTGTCGAAGCCGGAACCAGGTACACAAATATAGAGGGAAGCACCTGTCATTTAGAATAACCATATTTTCTATTGGAAACATGTTACGTAACATAGTATTTTATTACAACTAACATATATGATTTGTGCATATGTGCTTACAAGTATACTGTGTAACATTTACTTTTCACTATATATAAGTATTATCATTAAGTTTTGTGGTCGAGTGACCATAGAACAAAGAGCATAGGGGTGCAATTTCTGCTGTCCCGTTATGGTTTTGGCCCTAGTATTTTATTATACCATATAATATAATAATGACGCACTATCAGCAATGTTTACAGTAGTAAAAATTTTAAACAAAACTCTATGGTTAATTCACTATTCACCGCCCTATTTTTCTTGTGGTCCACGCATGCGAATATCGCTTGCTGACGGTCGACCGCCAGCTTTGTCGATTGTACTTATATTTTAATTCAGTTATTACGAAGAAGCAATCATAAGCATACCCATCATAATATAACTGATCTCACCTTTCTTTACCTTTTTTAAACATGGCCACCGCACTGGGTATTTCACAAATCGACACGCATACGATATAAGGATATGGAAGATAGATAGATGGCAGTTAACCCCATTATGAAAACTAAGAATATTGGAATAAAAAAAATATAAGAAAACGATACTTAATCCAACCTGGATTTGAATCTAAAATCTGCTTGTCAGTGGCATTGCGACACCAAAATTATAAAGTTGTCAGGTCAAAATACATCTCAATTAAAAATATTTACAAGTAATTAAATTTCGTAATTATGTATCTATAATTTGATTTCTAAGAACATGTCCTTATTCTTTTATTACGTAAAGACATATTTTCCTTAAAAACTAGTTTCGTTTTGGCTTCAAGAATTATTAAAATGTAAATAATTATGTTTGGAAGTCTTAGAAAAAATATCTTCTAAATGGTTTTACCTACTTTTACTGCTGTTCCAGTGACCTTCCGACCGGTCGTAATGATACCTTTGTTTGCATGAAATTAACGGTTAGATGTAGAACATACATATGACAAAAAATGGAATGACGTTGATTTCCAGACTTCGACAACAATGGCACACAAAAACGTTAAAAGCCTGAGAATTTTACATGTTTTAATACGAAAAATGTAAAGATCGAAAGTGTTTTCTCTTAAGGAATGGCTTTGTTCATAAAAATAGATACAAGAATATTTGTTTAGGTTAAAAATTGAACCTAAATATTTTTGTCATAGGAACCGTGCATCGTCTGACTTCTTTAAAAGTTGACCATGATTACCGGTGCGTAATCGGAACTACTGACTGATATAGCTAAGTCGCTTAGATCAGGATAAGGCAAAAAATAAAAAAGGTTAAGGTATTCGTCTAAAAACGCAATAACATATTCCCCGCCCTGCCAATTAAAACCAGCATAAGGAGTACAACGAAGCAATCATACTTAGAATATTAACCGTTCAGATTACAATAAAGTTATAGTAAAATATCAAGGCATCGATTTCATGGTGAATTTCTGATATCACCGTAAACGGAATTTATCAACTTTCTTATCAATAACTAGTTACATTTTACAATAAGCGAGTCCACCCGTGAATTTTTGAGATTTATTTCACCATTATTATGTCATCAATGTTGTAGGTACGTGAACGTATAGATTTTTTTATCCAGTATCGTTAGTAATAAATTATAAGCTCCTGGTACTTGGCGATCAGTGCAGCCTAAGTACATCTGAAATACCAGTAGCATTACAAATGTATTACTTTCTACTAAGGGTAGAAGAGGTAGGTATTTCTTTTTATAAGGCACAATTCAGCTACAATCTCCCAAAATTATCATAGGTCGCTTCATCGTTTACCACCAGGCGAGGTAGTTTCCAAACGTCAGCCTATCAGATATATATATAAAAAAAATAACAGCTAGAACTCTTGCAAGCCAGAATCTACTGTAGATAATTTAGATGAGGTATAGACTATGAAAACATCGGAGTACTGAAGTCCCAAGGACACAAGTACCTATTGGAGAAAAAACCGAAACGAAGTTCACTAAAGTGGGTGTTGCTTAATTATATCGAAATATCTCTTTTATCCGAGAATACTTACCTCTAGATTTGGAGTCATATATCACATTTTAAGTAAAATCCGTCTGTTGTCGGAGTTTTTGCACCTTTCTTTCGTAACTTCTTCTTGTTACTATAGCGCTTGACAGAGCGGTCGTCAATCAGGATGAGTTTGCGTGACCCGTTCTATATAACTACAACACGGTTCTTATCCCTAAACTATTCATTCTGTGCTATAAGCAGAACTTCATAGGACAACCGTGACCAACGCGATACATGATAACCGACAAATCTTCAATTACAATAAAATGGTCACCCACTATGCCGTATTTTTGTATCAAAGGTACAAACAAACAATACACGTTTAATCGTGACTGGATACAAAGCCCACATCCATATTTTGGAAATTTCGAACCCTAACCACGTAGCCAATCTAATTAATATTCTAAATGACCGTGCCATAAGGTGCTATTCACCTTTCTTGTCAACTGCGTTCTATAGTATTGATATTGTTTTGTTTATTTATGATGAGACATGTCGATGCACGGCCCTCATCTGCTAATGTATGATGAGTTAATGGTACTATTGCCGTGTTACATACAACAGAGGTTTAGTTTGCTTTAAGAACACATTTAATTATAACTACTTTAATATTTAGGTCTTCAGAGAGTTTGTCATCATCGTGTCAATTTATCGAAACTCTTAGCTTCTCGTTTTAACCAAAATCATCAACAATTGTATTGTCCAGTAATCGGCGACATAACTAAGAATTTTGTTACTAATGTAACAGAAAAGAATCACCGACGTGAAGCAACGCTTGCG